CCACCTGAAAAGAAACTCTATACGAACTTGGATTTCATGGGGGGGTGGATTTAACAAGCAATATTCTCAAGAGGAAGGATCACATCATCTCTGACAAATAAAACGTTCTTTGCAATAACGCTAAGAACACTATGTTCTCTAGTCAGTTGCCCACTGATCTGCAGAAGCCTCAAGGACAAGATCCCGCACATCTGACTACTTCTATGTGCATATATCAGTTCACCTGCTGCTGTGGAGCCAGCCAGCCAGCTACATTGGTCGGTCAACGAGCATCCTGTCCAAGAAGATTCAAGAACACTATCCAGTCAGCATGGTTGCGAAAAGGTAATAGTGGTGCAATAAGGAGTCTGATAAGTGAACACCTACCTGGTTAACACTGATCATTCCATCTCAACTAACACCTCCTACTTCAAAGTAATCTACATAGTCAAGAATAACCTATCAAAGGAAATACACTTTCGTCTTCTTTGTATCGCTGAAGCTCTGTCCATCCATTCACTTAGGAAAACCAGAGCTGTGCATACAAAAGAGAATTACTCAACCACTTCTACTGTCATGGTAACAACTTTGTTGATTTTTAATGACTTAATTTTGTTTGTTTGTCTGTTTCTTTAATTGCTTATAATTCTTGTACATTCATTTAGAACTCGTACGTAATGTAGTCGTATTCTCTACGTTGTTCCTATGTGTATCCTGACTGAGTGCAACTCAATCATCAAACTATTCATATTATGTCACGTAACTCCTTTTTAACAACTGTTTGTGACAACTCATCACCTTTGTTACACTACCCTAACTTCATTAAAACACCTAATTTTCTTGACTGATTTTGAATTACGTAACTCCAATTACCAATCTTCACTTGTTTAGTTATCATAACCAATTAACCAATTGTATTTTTGTTTGACAAACTTAATGTACACATACATACAAAATAACGCATATATATATTTGCGATTTTACAGTTAAGGGGAGAAATGAATTCGCCGCCGAAAAGGGACTCTTCGCTGAACACTACGTGTTTTGTTTTCATTAATTCCTGGATGGGGATTATCCATGAATTAAGGAATCATCGAAAAATCCAGGAAGTATCCACTAAAAGACCACATAAGGGATTCAGCACCAGATCATTTAGGTTATATGACATATCTCTATTAATTAGCGACATATATAGCAAAATTATGTTCACCTTATCTCTCAAAATCGTCAGTTGTACAGATCTTCCATGTTGTAATACTCCTCTGCCCCCCCCCTCCGTATTAAGCATTCATGTCGCCTTTTCGTGTCACCCGCCTTTCGCCGGAACGCTAAATCATTCACTCTCTTGGACATCAAGTCTATCTCTCCATTATTTGATGTGTTTTGTGCTGCGATGAAAGTGTTCTTTGTATACTACTAATAAATCTTATCAGTAGCACACGCCACACTGCGACTAATCCTACTTATACTAAAATTAATTGTAATTTCAGTGTAGACATCGTCAGGAATCAAAATCAGTCAAAGAATCAATCAATGGACGATAATCTCCTCCTAATATGTGAGTCTTCAGTAGTATCCACAAATGAACCCATTACAGAGAGAATTCTGGAGACTTATATCATTAAAAAATGATCAGAGGTGTCCTTCTTGAAATTCTTCTTCTTGCCTTTCACCAGAACCTGTAATTCATGTTCCTGATGAAAAATTTCTTGAAAACGACTTTTTATCGCCATAATGACTTATCATAACCAGTATACAGAGACAGCGACTGAAGATTCCGAAACTAGGATGTTGTTGTTAGTTACCTGTCTTAGAAGAACAAAATTTCAAGTTATTGATTTGATGCTCTATACTAGTGGGAAGTTGTGACTAACCAGTGGGGTACAGCAGGTGGTCGGGTGTGAGGACAAATACTCGCCATCGATGACGGTGTCTAGTACCAGTCACGCCATATCATGCGTGAATTGACAGAAGTTGGAATTCATCTGTGGTTATGTTCTTAGAGCTAGCTCACTCGCCTTGTAACCAGAAGGTCGTGGATTCGAACCTTGATGTTGGGGTGTGGGTGCATACTGCGAAGAGTCCCAAAACCAGGCTGACGAAACAACTAGCTGCCCAGTACTCCCAGCGGGTTTTCCAATGGTTCTCAGTTAGAGAATCATTGGAAAACCACCACTGGAGTACTCGATAGCTTTTTCGCCAGGAGAGTTTGAAGCTCTTCAATAGTACGCATCCACCCGGGTTCGAACCCACAACCTTCTAGTTACATGACGAGCGAACTAACTCGTAGACCATTCAGCCACTGGGACCTGATTCAATGGCCCATGAATTCCAATTTCTGCCAATTTGAACCCCGGTAGGTGCGTACTGGTGAAGAGTCCCAAAGTAGGACGAAACAGCTGTCCAGTACTCTCTGCAGGTTTTCCAATGGCTCCCTAACCGATATCATCTAATAATGAAGTCCTGTAACCTATCAGTTGAATCCCTACAAACTAATACTTGAAAATATCGTTTTCATTGTCTTCGTAGCTGATTTTTATTTGTTTGTATTTTTAACTTTTGCAATTAATTCTTTCCAACTCCTACGTAATATCACGCTTTCTTTCATTTTCATTAGGTAATGCTGAGGCTTTTTTAACACAAGGAAGAAAATCATCTGAATTGCTTCTCATTCGATAAGACAGATCAGTACACAACAAATAACAGTATGTCTGTGTGCGTGTGTGTATATATGTACGTGTAGTTCATTATCGCTAATTGAAAAATGCTTACATTTGATTGGATAAATTTTTGAGTGTGACACATCGAAGGATATACATGTATATACATGTCTATTATACATATTTCAACCAATCAGAATTCAGATAAAAATAACATGTAATAATATGATTGGTTAGAAGAAATAATTATCCGCAAATACATATATATATCTACACCTGTTTAATCGGAAGCATTTTCCGTTCACTAATTCTGTTTGTTCTAGTGATACTATTTGAAATAGAAAAAATAATATTAATTTTTAAAAATTAATATACCATACATTATTTATTTGTTTATCATCAATGAGAACAGGACTTTTAAATAAAAATTATTCAACATCTAGAATGGATCAAAGTACTGAGGTAAGTATTATCATTTATATATATATATATATATATATATTCCCACTGAATCATATATAAGAAAAGACATCCATTGAAGAGTTGCTCTTTTCAGCGTTATCATTCTCAAGCTGTACAATCTTATATACATAATAAATTCACTTAGCAACAATAAAATAAGAATAAAGTAAGTAAGTTGAGTGACATATGTAATATAATTCACGCGGTTGAGTACAACTCGACTAATACTCACCGTTTGGCTATGCAAACGTATCATCGAACACTCACTCTCTCACAGTCATGGTTTTATAAAGGAGAAAAAAGATCCCCTCCCACCTCCACAGCAACTCTATCCTGGAACATCTGATCGATCGAATCTGAGCACTAAGCATACTCTCCCACAAAGGAACTCCAAAGTTATCATCTACAGAATATGTGGAAATCTTGCCAAAATAGTACATGAATCAAACTTCTTCAAAAACAGAGTAGAAGCAGCAGGTAATTCACATGTTAAATCGTGAACTGTGTATACGAAATGGTATTATTTTATTCCTCCACCCCACCCCTTATTAAATTTCTACCCCTGATTACCACTTTCGTTAACTTAATTGTGTCTCGTTCAATTTCGATTGAATTGTACTCGTTGTAGATAAGATTTTATTTTGATAAAGTGTCACACAGTGTTGTACAATAATATTTATTTACTGATGACCACGTTTCGAGCACAAATTATTATTGATTAGATATTTGATCAATAACACTCATATTATTATTTCTTAATGTACTTTATCTTATATTGATTGTATTCAAATGTCTAATCATCAATTTTCACTCATGTATATAAATGAAGCAAGAAAGTTGTGTGAGTGAGTGACTTGATATGATTATGAGTGGCAATAATTTGTGCTCGAAACGTGGTCATCAGTAAATATTACTGTATAACATTGTGTGACACTTTATAAAAATAAAATCTTATCTATAACGAGAGCAGAATTCAACTGAAATTGAACGAGACATAATTAAGTTAACGAAAGTGGTAATCAGGGGTAGAAATTTAATAAGGGGTCGGGTGGGGGTGGAGGAATAAAATAATACCATTTCGTACACACAGTTCACCATTTAACATGTGAATTACCGCCACAGTTGCTGCTTCTGCTCTGTTTGAAGAAGTTTGATTCATTGTACTCTTTTGGCAAGATTTCCACGTATTTGGGAGAGTATGCTTAGTGCTCAGATTCGATCGATCAGATGTTCCAGGATAGAGTTGCTGTGGAGGTGGGAGGGGATCTTTTTTCTCCTTTATAAAACCATGACTGTGAGAGAATGAGTATCGATGATACGTTTGTATAGCCGAACGCTGAGTATTAGTTGAGCATTACTCAACCGCGTGAATTACATTACGTATGTCACTCAACTTACTTATTTAATTTAATTTTAGTTTCTAACCCATTAACGAAATCTGTTATCTAAAGAGATTTAGAATTCTAATGACACACCCTTGGTAAAATATTGGTTTTGTTGTTAAGACAATTTACTATGTGTATATATGCGATTGTACAGCTTGAGAATGATATCGCAAGAAAGAGTAACTCATCGCTGAACGCTTTTCCTTATATTAATAGACACCGACAGCGTTGTATGTGTTACTAATTAATAGAGACTACAGCTTATGGTTCATTGAATTCATTCTGAATGTCTAAATACTCAGCAGTTATGTCATGTAACCGAAACGGTCTGGTTCTGAATCCCTCATGTGGTCTTTTAATGGATACTTCCTGGTTTTTTTTAATGATTCCTTAATTCATGGATAATCCCCATCCAGGCATTAATGAAAACAAAACACGTAGTGTTCAGCGAAGAGTCTGTTTTCGGCGGCGACCCCGGGTTATTTTGTATGTATGTGTACATTAAGTTTGTCAAACAAAAATACAATTGGTTGTGGTTATTTTAACTAAACAGGTGAAGATTGGTAATTGGAGTTACGTAATACAAAATCAGTCAAGAAAATTGGGGTGTTAATGAAATTAGGGTAGTGTAACAAAGGTGATGAGTTGTCACAAACAGTTGTTAAAAAGGAGTTACGTAACATAATATGAATAGTTTGATGATTGAGTTGTACTCAGTCAGGATACACATAGGAACAACGTAGAGAATACGACATTACGTAAGAGTTCTAAATTGTGTACAAGAATTATAAGCAATTAAAGAACAACAAAGTTGTTACCATGTATAGTAGAAGTGGTTGAGTAATTCTCTTTTGTATGCACACCTCCGGTTTTCCTGTGTGAATGAATGGCCAGAGCTTCAGCGATACAAAGAAGACGAAACTGTATTGCCTTTGGTAGGTTATTCTTGACTGTGTAGATTACTTTGAAGCAGGAGGCGTTTGTTGAGATGGAATGATCAGTGTTAACTAGGTAGGTGTTCAATTATCGCACTCCTTATTGCACCACTATTACCTTTTCACAACCATGCTGGCTTGATAGTGTTCTTGAATCCTCTTGGACAGGGTGCGCGTCGAACGACCAATGTACCTGGCTGGCTCCACAGCAGCAGGTGAACTGATATATGCACATAGAAGTGGTCAGATGTGCGGGATCTTGTCCTTGAGGCTTCTGCAGATCAGTGGGCGACTGACTGGAGAACATAGTGTTCTTAGCGTTATTGCAAAGAATGTTTTTTTTTCTCAGAGATGATGTGATCCTTCTCTTGAGAATATCGCTTGTTAAAAATCTCCCTTGAAATCCAAGTTCATGTAGAGTTTCTTTTTATGTGCAAGTGAAGTTCCTTAATTGATGTATCGCTTTGTTTCGGTATTTATACTTAATTAACTATTCCAAGTGAAATTCACTGAAATTCGGTTTGATTGTATAAACTTCTCAGAAATCTTTCATGATTCCACAGACTTGAAAAAAGTAGGACTGATTAGTGGTTTGATAATGGTCAATAATATGCGTATACCTTCATCACTTGTTCTTCAAGAGGGGTTTCCTTATCCGACCATAGACACTTCTTAGTCTGATGTCATTGTTAGAGGTAAGAGGCTTATTGTCGAAAGGAGTTTTGTCTTCAAATAAAGAAGAAACGACTCACTGTCTTGTTGGAAATCAATAAACGAGGTGTAATCGATAATTGACAATTAGTTGTAATCAATCAATTTAACCTACAGTTTAATATAGACAGATTCAGAGGCTAAAAGACGTATACTGCAGTAGAATAGATGGTTAACCGTCTATGCATCACAGGAAAACTCGTCTGGTGAATCATAAAGTGAATCTACAAACCTTCAAGTGTGACACCTTATTGTCAGTTTCACTCACTAGATAATAAAACGGAATGACATAGAGAAATACTATACTTTCAGATTTTCACTTCTTCAGTATATTGTGAGAATGTGTCACGTGCTTGATGAAACGATGTCAATTAGACGAACACTGGTGACGATTTTGTCTTAACTACAAGTCTTCAACCTGACTGTACAGAGGCTGAAGTTGAGGGCGTTGAGGTGACAATGAGAGTCCTCTAATGATTTAGCTACCGGGATGGAAGCCTATGACGTGTCAATTCCTGATGTAGAAGGTCAACTTCTATCCATTTCTGTCACAAATTTTCATTAAAACACTGAGAATTTCCCCCCACCCCTGAGTTAGTCAGTATAATGCACAATGGATTAACTTTTAAGTGTTGATCTGTTGAGGATGACTGACTTCAAATTAGATGTCGTCAAGATCCACTTCCTTACCTTGATCGGGTTGTTGGTACACACTCACACACACATCGGTAGTTGATCCTAAAATTAAAACGAAATAGGTGTCTGGTCCACCCCGATTTTGAATGGTTTTATAACTGATATTTAATGATATCTCTGTCGGCTAATATTTACAAAATTTATTTAATTTAATTGAGAGGTTTCCTGTTGTCAGGAGAATTGCATTAATTAGTGGCGAAAACTAAGTAATATTGTATACGTTTATTCATGCCTTTATTATTATTATTATCTCCTGGGGTTCCAAGTGGAACATACGGCTTCAACAACACATCTCCACTCCCCTCTATTTTCCGCTTTCCTATTCATCTGGCTACTCCCATGATTGCTCATAATCTATCATCTTCTCCTCCTCCCCAACACACGTTCTCCTCCATTTCACCCTCTCGCCACCAACCCACTCGTCACTTCTCATCCAACGTCCACTTGAGCAATAACCTGCACTGCTTGCATAATCACTCAATCGTTGGCCTCCTAAGCGACCTATACCCGATTAGTACATCTGCATTTTCTCCTACATGTTTGTTTAACAATCGGCTCTTCCTTGGTTTGTTCATTGCCAGATTTTCTTGTTGAGAATTCTTTCTGGCCAATCGGCTGGTCAGCTAGCCATTTAATCTTCAGTATGGAGCCAGCCAGAGAAATGGGCAGCTGTTGGCTGGCTTTGAAATCTCTATCCGTGCTGTCCGACTGTCTGTGGTTGAAACAGTGCTGGCTTCCTAACTGACTACACATAAGTGAAGGCAGGAAGTAACCTGTGTCAAATCTCTCCCTCCCGTTGGTTTTGATTGGTGCTGGTTGTTGTCGTTGTTACTGTCGCTGTTGCTGTTGGTGGTGGTTGGTTGGTTGGTTATTTTCATTACCTCAGTCTCCACCTTCTCTATGTTCACCTGGAGTCAGTCCTGTCTTTGCCCCTGCCTGCCTGTAAGTCTTCGAAATTGTGTGACTTGAAAGAAGTCTTGACCAGTAGGGTGCAGCAGGTCGGGTGTGAGGACAAATACTCACCACGAAGCATTGGCTAGGGGTCGCTCTATGTCATGAATTGGCAGAAGTTAGAATTCATGGACTGACCACTGGATCGGGTCCCAGTGGCCTAATGGTATACGAGCTCGCCTTGTAACCAGAAGGTCCTGGGTTCGAATCCCGGTGGGTGCGTACTGATGAAGAGTCCCAAACTAGGACGAAACAGCTGTTCAGTACTTACAGGTTTTCCAATGGTTCTCTGACTAATGTCAGCTCATGATGAAAATCCTGT